CTAGTAAACAGTGGGGCCTAGTGTATCTAGACTGGAAACTGCACTGAAAACGGATGTAACGACTCCACGTTCTATTTGGGAAGCAGTTGGTAATTAGGTAACAGGATATATGTACCCCCCTCACATCCTTCCGCATATTCACCATTTTTTCTTTTGTTTCCTTTTTTTTCCTATTCACAATGCCAAGCTGAATGAAGGAAGAATTCAAAAAAAGGGAAGAAAAAAAAGAAAAAAGAAAAAAGAAAAAAGCAAGTAAGCAGTAATTAGCATGAGATCCCACAGAAAGAAAAAATTGACTTGAACTCCCTGAAGCAGCCAAAACAAAAGGGGCTAAGCTCAAGTGGTGCTATGTTGATTGTTAGGAAACATGCACCTGGCAAATAAAGCAGGCCAGTTTCATGCATCTGTAGCATCCGCCCAGCACACATCTCCCAACGAGCAATTAGGTGCCCCTGTCCAGTTGATGTGGCTCAGTGGTTAGAGCACCGGTTGGAAATCCACATTGTGGTGTGAGGTTGCGGGTTCAAAACTCAATTGCAGCCTCGCGCATGGACACTGGAAGTGTGTTAGATTGACGCACGGCTGGACATATACTCCCTTGGGCTGACGCATGGTACTATTACAGACAGACACTGTCTGCGCACCACCCAAGGGTTGTTCATGGTGTAGTATGTTGGTCCTGGGTTTCACATGGGTTGCTTGGGGGAGTTGGTCTTGGGTGTTCTGTTAATCTCCCCAGTTTGGCATATCACACGTTCGTGCCATTTCCACTAGCCGTTCACATGGTAGAGTCGTACGATTACATGTTTCAAGGTCACGGGTTCGAGCCTGGTTCGGATCGTGGGAGGGTCCTTGTCCAGCTTACCCCGTTCTCTCTTCGATATACACACATAATGCTGACTATACATCTCGATACATTGATTCACAGAGCACACACAGCCTTCGGGCACATACATAGCTTGCGAATTATACATGGCCTACGGGCTACATACACAAGTTTCCACACATAGTGCTCTGTACATCTTCATACATAGATACACGAAACATACACAGCCTTCGGGTATACACATACATTGTGAACTACACAACTATCAGACTGGGGGGGTCTAGTCACTGGGTGGGGTCTAGTATCTGCGGAAGGGACAGGTATGGGCCACCGGAGTTCCTACTGATAGTCGGGTAGAACTGTCTGGTGGCTATATATAAGGCTTAGACCCTGGGGGTTTAGGTAGGGGTATAAGTCGCTCAGGCCAGTCCGAGTTCCGCCTGGCCTTGGGTAATCTAGGGGAAGGACGGCAAGACTGCTTCAATGGGTGCTACCCTGTCCTAAACCTACGGCCCAGAGTCTCTTGGGGCCTGTAGTAGATTGTCTGGGCCTGGCGTCCGAAGTTCCCGTTCGACAAGGCTCGCCCAATTCCGCTTCCACCAGGGCTGGGCGACCTATCGGCCCTGGCGCCTATCACTGCTGTTAGGTCCAAGTTGCCTGCCCATTGGTAGGGTACTGGTCCTGAGTGCTGGTCACACTGAGGTAGGATAGTGGGATAGGAGTATTGACGTGAGGATGGGATGGGAGGTGGTCTCATGTTCCAGGACGCCCACGGACTACTGCTCCAGGTGATCACTGTGTACTCAGTGACTGGCCTTTACAACACCATGGACTTCTTGAAAAAAGGAAAAAAAAAAAAAAAAAGGAAATATGCCCCTGGCCAATAGAGAAGCCAGATCCGTGCATTTGTAACACCCGCTGGGCGGGAGCCCTAAAGGGCATCTCCCAACGATCCCAACGAGCTATGCCTATAAACCTGGATTCTGCAGACCAGCAGCTGCTCACCATTGCCGTGCACCCGCACCCCCCCCCTCCCCCCCTAGCCGTCCGGGAAAATAGGGTGACCCGGGCGGCCCGGCTGGTAGCCGGGCTGCGAAATGTACTGGTGGTTAATGAATAGCGCCGAATACCGGAGCCACGGAGTTGGATGTGCGTACCGTGCTTACCACATCGGCTGGCTCACCCACTACCGTTTCCTACCTGAACGTGGACATAACCGCTCATTCCACTGCAAAGAGCCGCGCCAAGCTTTCGTACGAGGCTCACATGTATGCCCGATTGAACCGATTCGAGCCTCTTTTGTGTAAGAGGGGATTCCCTCTGTGCGCCAAGCTTCGCCAAAATGTCGGCGCGGTGTTTTTGTTTTCGTTTCAGCTGGTGCTGCCATGCATTTCGATCCGGTTCCCCTGCGTCGCCAAATTTTTCGAAGAGAGGCTCTCGCCGTCCCCCCCCCTCCCCCTCTCCTAGTTGTTCTCAAGCTTCCCAGGGTCGCTGCGCTTTGTCGGTCCAGAGCTTCCACTATGATATATGTGGACTCATTCACGACCGCCTGTTTAAACCACCAGTACTTGGCCCAGCTATCAAGTCCGAGCCTCCAGCGACCGGTATGTCGAGCCTGCCAAGCCTGGCAGTACCAGTAGCTGGACGGGCCGAGGCTGGGGGGACCAGTTGGAAAACAAAAATATCAAAAAAAAAAAAAAAAAAGCAACAACGCTGGGGACGTGAATGCAGTTGGATGCATTCTCCCGAGTGCTTGTGTGAGCACGTCGCAGTTTGGGTGTATCAGCCCCATGGCGTTTTTGTCAAAATCCAAAAGTAAAATAAGGGGAACAAAAACAACAACGAAAGTTACGAAACGAATCTCAAAGAAGAAGGAAAAAAAGAAACATGAATTTGACCACGAAATTAGTTAGATACATTTGTCTGTGTGCAAGTGTGAGTATGCCCTCAACGAGGGCTGTTCAGTAGATTCACGGGATATGCCCTGCCTCGCTGGCAGGGGCATCTAAGAAAAGCGGGAAAAAGACAAAAGAAGAAAAAAACGACATCCAGAATCTAACTGAAATCGTAGTTAGAAGCATTCCACCAAGAACATACATGACCTCGGCCACTGATAGTTTTTTTTTTTTTTTGATTCTTGACTTTCTATGCGCAATTCTCACCGACCGGATGTTCATGTGAACGACCCCCCCTCAAATGAGGCGCATTAAAGGGACACGCCCGCGGCCCATAGCTTCATCTTTCGGCCGCTTGGTCGCATTTGGAGCATGGTGTATTTTCTTCTCTCTGTGCCTTCCTTCCTTTTGCCCTTCTCTCTCCTCTACCTTTCTCTTTCTCTTGCTCTTTCTCTTTCGCTCTATGCCAACGAATGCTTATCGCTCTCAAATTTCGTATGTCGGGTGACATTGTCAAAATCCCATGTCCAGGTGATTTTACGGTTAAGCCACCAGTACTTCCAAAAGTCGCAGCCGTAAATGAGCCACGGCTTGCTGGGCTGAACGGGCGTGCCGGCTGCAGTCCAAATCCATTCAAGTGGAAACATCTCGGCTCTACTTTTCGCCGCGACTGATGGATCAACGAAGTACTGCTGGTTTAAGCCACCAGTACTGACAAAAGTCGCGGCCGTAAATGAGCCACGGCTTGCTGGGCTGAACGGGCGTGCCGGCTGCGGTCCCACATCCATTCAAGTGGAAACATCTCGGCTCTAGTTTTCGCCGTGACTGATGGATTGACGAAGTACTGCTGGTTTAAGCCACCAGTACTTACAAAAGTCGTGGCCATAAACGAGCCGCAGGGTGCTGGGCTGAACGGGCGTGCCGGCTGCGGTCGAAATCCATTCAAGTGGAAACATCTCGGCTCTAGTTTTCGCCGCGACTGATGTATCGGCAAAGTACTGCTGGTTTAAGAACTCAGGAAGGGAAGGGGGAGAAACAGATCAGGTTCTTCGTGTGCGATACACAAACCCACTTTTTTTTCACTTTTTCTTTTTGTTTGGTCATATGCACAGCCGTCCTTTTTGCTTTTTTTTCTGAGCCTTGAGTTTCTCGTGAGAGCATCAATGTTTTCCCTCGAACGAACGGAACACAGTGCTATCCCCATGTTCAGAACGCACGAGTCTATCGTGAAAACAAGCCAAGTTCATATAAACTTTCCACAAATATAGCAACACAGGGGACTTGCCCCCTGGGACAGAGACAGTCAGATCTCATCTCTTTTCCCATTTTCACGATTTTCTATCATTTTCATGACCAAATGCTTTCAAAGGTTAACAAAGAAAGTCGTAATTGGCAAGACCCGAAAAAAGACAACACTAATGACGTTTTGGGGTCACCCCAGTTATTTCTTTTGTGTTCACGCCAATTACTTCTTTTGGAGCTCAGCATGTTGTTTAGGAGGAGAGCAGGAGGAGGAGGGTGAAGAATAAGAATAAGAATAAGAATAAGAAGAAGAAGAAGAAGAAGAAGAAGAAGAAGAAAAGGAAGAAGAGGAGGAGGAGGAGGAGGAGGAGGAGGAGGAGGAGGAGGAGGAGGAGATAGCGAGGCCAACACTATGTGCTCATACTCACAAAAAGGATACGCATAACAGCGTCATCACAAGCAAACATCCAAGAAAATGTGCACAAAAAGAAAGACGAAAGAAGAAAGAAGAAAGAAGAAAGAAGAAAGAAGAAAGAACAAAGAAGAAGAAGGATGCGTTACGGCAAAGAAAGAAGAAGAAGAAGAAGAAGAAGAAGAAGAAGAAGAAGAAGAAGAAGAAGGAGTCATGGCAATGAGTCGATATGGACAAAACAGCAGACAGACGACAGAACAAGATGATGTGGTGCAGGTGCTGCTCCCCACCAATAGACCGGAGCACCCAGGTCTCTTGCTAGGAGGTTGTGCTCTTAAAAAAAAAAGAAAAAAAAAGAAGAAGAAAAAAAAAGGATGATGTGGTGAACACATAAGAACATGTTCAGCTCAAAGAGATCAAGCAATAAATGAGATGTCAGTCAGATGATCGACCAACTCGTCGGCATCGTGATTTTCCAGGTTTGCACTTGTACTCTCACAAATCGCCCAACCTGGGAAATCAATATAAAATTTATGAAATTTAAAAGCTACAACAACTTTCAAAAGTCAGAAGGTTTAGAATCTAGCACCAATGGTCTTGGAGAGAAATGCTAAAAGCTTCATCACTAACGTAAAGGTCTCGGGACCTTAGAGATTTTTGGCGCGTTTGCATGGTTTACAGAACATGAGCAGACCCTTCAATAAAAAATGGCACTGACAGAAAGAATGAGATCAACTCAGAGGCTCACAGAGATTGTTCTCTAAGGACTGGAGGGCAAACTAAGAATAGTCGGCGGCAAACATGAGATGGCCGCACCATCGAAAGAAAAAAAAAGAGTAATCAGCCGACAAATGCCATCCATCGGTTTTCAAATAAGTCTGTTTATCTCCAACTCGATTGCTCCCTCATAATTCTTCTCTACTGTCTCACCTAATATGCTGCAGCACAAATGTTTTTCTTTCCTTTCGCCTGCCGGAAGAACAAATTTTCTTCCTCCTCCCTCCGATCCTTCCTCCTCCCTCCGGTCCAGCAGTAATTGCTGCTTGTGTCGTGAACGCAAACAATTCATCCACCTTACGATACCGCGGTTAAACAACAAGAGAAACAAAAAAAAAAAAAAGAACTTGTGACTGTACAGTTTCCAAAACTCCCCACGTGTCGAGCTTATTCCGTGCACTAACCACAAACCCTCAGATGTTCCAACTCTCCCAAATGGAGAGCGATATCCTCTTCCCCTCCCTCTCCTCCCTCCCTCCCTCCCTCCCTCCCTCAATCCATGCATTCATCCATTCATCTCTCTCTCTCTCTCTCTCTCTCTCTCTCTCTCTCTCTCTCTCTCTCTCTCTCTCTCGCTGTGGACATTTTTCCATGCCTCACCATCTACCCATCCATCCATCCATCCATGGATCTCTCTCTCTCTCTCTCTCTCTCTCTCTCTCTGTGGATGTTTTTCCATGCCTCACCATCTATCCATCCATCCATCAATCGATCCCTCTCTCTCTCTCTCACACACACAGAGCATCTATCCGTTGGTAGCTGTTCTCTCCCTCACTTCTGCTGCTATTCTTTCACTTCCTTACTGGACAAATTTTACGCTCCATGTGCACAAACAAACACCTGCGTGGTTTGTTATTGTTCCATGGCACAAGTGGAACTTTCTCTTGATCACTTTCCCCCCTGCCGCTGTGCATCTAGATATCCTTTGTTTTTTGCCATCTTCATATCCTGGTCACAGACAAGATGCAAGAAGGATGTGGCTAGGAGAACATGCATATGGGCACTTGCTAAGCTTCTAACCAATGTGATAACCATCAAATTCATCATCAAACTGCTTCAATACATTAGTGCCGCCGAATCATGTGGCGTTATTACTGTGCTTCTAAACAATGCAATCACAGAAGTTAAGCCCAAGCATGAGAAGAAAGAATGATTAGAGGAATGCTGCGGAGGAAAGACCCGCTTGATGACCTGCGGTACCTTCACAGCGCTCTACAACGGTGCACGCTGTTTGCGCCGACTGCTGAGGAATCGCAAGAATCTCACCTTTCTACGACACACTCACGTCCACACCGTTTGCGCCAAACGCTGAGTGAATTGCGAGAGAGTTCATAGCGAGTTGATTTTGTAAAGTGCTTTCTTCACACCCTGGACGCCTTTGGAAGACGTGCCCAATAGGCAAAGACACCGCTCCTCTCCGTTCCTTGCAGCAGTTTCGGAGCTTCCGCTTGGCCAAGCCTTTTCGATGCGGCATGGATGCTTCACACATAATACGCATTCGCAGGACATGGCCAATACACGAAAGATCCCTCTTCTCCCCCTTCCTTCTGGCAATTCCCCAGCTTCTGCTTTGCGATGTTTAACTGTTCCTGTACCGTCCCTGCCATCGTCGATGTGGCTTCGTTCGACCCCATGGATGCTTCACACATAATGAGCCTTTGCAGGACATGCCCACGATACAAAGATACCTTCGTCAATGTGGCTTCGTTCTACCCCATGGATGCTTCACACATAATAAGCATTTGCAGGACATGCCCAAGACACAAAGATACCTTTGTCGATGTGGCTTCGNCAAAGATACCTTTGTCGATGTGGCTTCGTTCTACCCCATGGATGCTTCACACATAATAAGCATTTGCAGGACATGCCCAAGACACAAAGATACCTCTTCTCCCTATTCAATGAACCGGCGATTGCCGAGCTTCTGCTTTGCCACGTGTTACTGTCCCGCCGCCATCGTCGATGTAGCTTCGATCTATGCCATCCTACAACAGCTGCCATCTTCACAACCATGCATCTCATGCACAAAGCGCGGCAGCATCTAACGGATTCTAACCTCATAACCTGCAAACAAAAATGGGTGCCCGGTAGAGGGTACCCGAGAAAGAACTCGATTCGCTGCATATGCCACATCTTTCGTGTACTCCCTTGCATGATAGAACCTCACCTTCAAAAGCTGCACTTGTGTCCATGAGAATGCCTGGAAACCCAGACAAATAAGCCGGGACGACGGCCAGACGACTCTCGGACGGCAAGACTTGATCTTGAAAGAGATGGCATGTGCTTTTGCCTGTAAAGAACCCTTAGCTCTTTATCATCCATCACCGTTCGAAGAATGTCCAGATGCCCATGGCGAATGGTCTGCGCCAGACAGGCTGTTGCCGAAAGCAATACATGTCGACCTCTTCGAAAGAGCCTTGGCCTACGCTTTGAGGAGAATAGCCAGTTCATTGAATAGAGTCGCTCCAACGCCATCCAGACTCCTCCATGACTCTCAGCAAGCCTATAGGTGCCGAATTGACAATTCCTTTGTACAGAGCATTCAGCCATTGACAGGGGAACACAACCCCTCTTCTCTTATTCCCATGTTTGGCCAGGCCACCGCGCACTGCTGCCCATGTTTGGGATCAAGTCGATGAGACAACATCCTCATCTCCCCTCGGAGAAACACTCTGAGATCACAGCTGTTCGCGGGACAGACGCATCCGTGTCATACGCTCCTGAGACTGCAGACGTTTCTGAATGCTGCCTACTTACCCCGTCAACACAGTTCCCATAACCATCCGCATCGCCGCCATGATAGGACCGTCCGCTACCGAACTGCTGTGGGCTGTTGTCAGAGATACACCCGTTTCCGTGCCTTGGGTCCATCAACGGAAAGCCTCTGCTCTCCGCACCTTCGATGAACATATGGCTACTTTCTGAAAACCCGCCTGACCAACCGAACGAGTACATCCCAGCCTGCGATCCGCTCTGCAACTCTCCCGTCCCGTAGAACTGGAATGCTTCTCCACTTAATCCTCTCTCCCCACTGTGGGTGTATTCCCTGCCCCTCGGCAAGGACGTTAACAGCTGAACCACTTCTCCCATAGACGGCCGCTGAGACACCTCTGGTAGAACGCACTGTAGCGCGATCGCTGCCACACGAGCAAAGTCTTCCAAGGGGTACTGCCCTTCAAGCCTGGGATCTGCCAGCTCTACCAGACGCTCCCTATCTTTCAGCAATGGCCTTGCCTGTTAAAAAACCCAACACAATCCACAAACCACACTCCAGTTCATCTCTCTGTTCTTTTCCATCCATCTCACTTCATCCCTTAAACCACCACCACCACCTTTTACCAGTCATCAGGAGCCCTGCCCTTGGCAGTTGGTCCGTCCGATTGGCAATACAACGTCCGTCGCCCACAGTTTTTCTTTTCCTTGCTTCGACTCTTCGGGAGGTGCGGCAATTTTTCAGGAAGGAAGATAAGTTGTGGTTTAATGAGTCGAGAAACCCCAATACAGGTCATTTACAGTGAAGTCACCCCCATAAGGACATCAAAATGACAAAACAAGGCATTGAATTCTGCATGTGACCAGCTTCAGCAAGCAGCGAAGGAAATGCCACAATTAATCAGACATTTCTTATTACTATTTCCTTGAAACCTGACCTGGTTTGGAGGGGCCGCTTGTTTTCTCATCGAGTTCAGCCGGGCTTCGTGCTAAAGGATTGCATCACCCTGCACCCCAGGTCCCCTACTCATTGTTCACATCCACGACGACCAGCGTGTTTGCATGCCAAATCCTTTCCCAGCTTCACTACCCAACTTTGCGTACAAAACAATAAAACTAAAAAAAAAGGAAAATGAAAATTGTTTCCAAAGTGTTCAAATCAAAAGCTTGGAGCTCATCATGAACAAGCTTGCAATATCTTTTTCACTTGTGGCGTGACATTATAAACATCCAAAAGGCGCAGAGGCAAGAAAAGCATCATCATTGTCCCCATCATCCTCATTCTCATCCTCATCCTTGTCGTCGTCATCCTCATCATCCTCATCATCCTCACCATCCTCGTCATCATCACAAGGAGCAGCAGCCTGCAGACAATAATTAGGTGACGCTGATGGGGTGAAAATTCAAAAAGCAGTGGTGCCGTTACGAAAGGAAGCAACAACTGTGGAAAGTAATAAAACAACGCAAAAGAAGAAGCAGGAGAGGATAATGAAAAAGAGGAGGAGGAGGAGGAGGAGGACGTTTCACAAGCTTATTAGGAAAAGCAAGAGTGACGTTGTCCTTATCTTTTCAAAGATCGGTACAAAATCCTTCAGAAGGGCCCCACCACACATTCAAAGATTGGTGTGTGAAATTGAATGCGAGGCCCACCAGCCATTCCGCTCCGTTTACTAGAGATGAAACAAAAGTTACAAAACCGATCGTTCTCTCAGCCTCGCATTCAATTTCACACTTTCCAACTTCATATATGTTACTTATAAACTCTCTTTTTTTTTTTTCAAAGCTTCGTCGTCTTTTGTTTAATTTAATGGACAACGACCAGAAATATATATATATATATATATATATATATATATATATATATATATCGTCAAATAGAACTGCCCGGTAAACCGTAGGCAGAGAGGGAGAAGAGGACAACAAAATATATATATTTTTTCCCTTTAATGGCCTGAGTCAGAACACTTACCCAAGTAACAAGATTCTCCTGTCCTTGAGGTGCTGACATATCCACTGGTTTGCGTCCAGAGAGAAGCTCTAGAAGTACAACTCCATAGCTGTACACGTCGCTCTTGACCAGGAGGTGCCCAGTCATTGCATATTCAGGCGCAACATAGCTGCCACACAGAAAACAAGTCCAAACCTCAGATTCATAGACAATTGTTCACAGACACATGCACCCCCCGCTCCCTACCAACCCCAACCCCCCTTTCTCCCCGCCCCTTCGCCCCCCCTCCCCGAACCCCACACGCACACCGCTGAATTGTACTGGCCAATGTACACAGACGCATGCACCCACCACCACCACCACCACCACCACCACCACCACCACATGCATATGGATGGATTCTACGGAGTTGCTGCGCATGTGAACCATTGAAGCAAACACATAAACATAGCCGCCACACAGCACACAACTCCAGACCTCAGATCCATAGGCCAGTGTTCACAGACATATSCCCCCCTCGCCCCCCCCTGCGCATGTGAACCATTGAAGCAAACACATAAACATAGCCGCCACACAGCAGACAACTCCAGACCTCAGATCCATAGGCCAGTGTTCACAGACACATCCCTCCCTCGCCCCCCCTTCGCCCCCCCCGACCACCACACACATATGGCTGAATTGTATTGGCAGTGAACACAGACACATGCACGCACCACCACCACCACCACCGCACACATAGAAGGGTAGTTTTGGCGCCTGCTGCCAATGCCTACCGTAGGCGGTAGGCGTGCCTACCAGTCGGGCGGACCAGTAGGCGGACCCCTCGGCGGTCGGCAGACTGCCTTGCAATTTTATTTCCCCCCCCCTGATTACATGGTCGTGCGCAGCTTGAGGAGAGCAGCCCAAATCTGCAATAAACTTTTTTCGGGGTGGTGGGAGGTATAGGGGGGTCAAAGGGGATTTAGGGGGGGGTATGAGGGTGTTAGGGGGCGGTATGGGGGTGTTGGGGGGTGCTATGGGAGTGTTGATGGGGTTCTTTGGGGTTCTGGAACCCCCCCCCCAAAAAAAACACTTTTTGTTGTTTTTTTTTGTTTTTGTTTTTGTGCGGGGTGCAAACTGACCCCCGACTGGTTGGTGCCAACCAGTCCGACGGTCGGCTGGTTGGCCCCCGACCAATCCAGGGGTGCCGATTGTCGGCGTGACTTCTCTGCTGCTGCGCATATGAAGTTCTGAATCATTCTGGCAACTCAGGCTGTAAAATCTTTTCTGAGATAAACAAATCCGCCCCTTTTGGGAAATCAAACCTTCCTGCTAGTTTGCATTTTTCCTTTACCTTTCTGAGACTATATACAGTGTACGCAACCATGAACATGTGCATTCTTATGATTTTTTTTTTTTTTTTTTTTTTTTTTTTTGGGGGGGGGGGGAAGGGATGCATTCTTATGTTTGCTTCCCTTCTGGCGCTTCGCATTTCCCTGCTTTTTCTTTCTTTTTGACGTCTTTTCCGTCTCCTTTCAGCGAAGATGTTGCTGCTTCGGCATTGGAACTCCACAGAAAGCAGAACGACTCCGAGAGCACATAACACTAGGCTGACAGCGCTGCCGCACAAGCAACAGCTCGCTACTTTTTCACGTCATGATAGTCACTACTGTTTTCACCCGAATAGAACGCCCGGTCATTGTCGCTGTATCGAGTGCGCAAATCGGACCAAATACGGCTATAAAAGAATGACCGGGCGTTGTATTCGGGTGAAGACGGTGGGAGGTAGTACACTTTGGGACATCCATTAGAATTGAAACAACAAAGAGAAGTTTAGCGTCGGCAGACCATCTCCGCTGGTGAACCCACAGCACGCCACAGGAGGCCGTGAGGATGACAGGCATATAAATTTGAGATATGGTCCATTTTCTTGCTTACGAAAAATGAAAAGGAGCCCTTTTTAGGCTTTTCCGCAGGCAAAAATGATAAACCCCTGCCCGAATCAGTCAGGGTGGTGAAATGGCAACTAACTATATGAAAATATTTCCCCAGTTTGTGCCTCCCATGTTCAGCTGCCTCATCATTACCCCTTCTCCCTCACCCGCAAAGAACACATTCAAAGCAGTTTCCCCACCCATCCGCCACCGCCCCCCCCCCCCCCCCCCCCCCCCCCCCCCCCCCTCCTCTTCTCACCCCCCTTAGTGTGCTATAAGCAGACGTACCCGAAGGTGCCCATAACTCGGGTGGAGACGTAACCGCCCCGTGCATCTGGAGCTTGCTTTGCCAGCCCAAAATCTGCAACCTTTGAAGTGAAATCATTCTCCAACAAAATGTTTGATGCCTTGAAGTCCCGATGAATCACACAGGGTTGTGCTTCTTCATGAAGGTATGCTAATCCCTTGGCAGCACCGATTGCAATCTTCATCCTCGTTTCCCAATTCAGCGCTTTGATTGAATCTGGACCTGAATCCAACCGAAGTACAATAACAATAGCAAAGGTTTGCAGATTCACCAGGTTAGCAGGCTACACAGTGGAACACAATCTCACACAATCTCACACACCCACAAGCAGCTCTAATTGCAATCTTCATCCTTGTGTCCCAAATTCTCCCAATCGAATGAGTTGATTGGATCTGGACCTGAATCCAACAAAAGTCCAGTAACCATAGATGATAGAACAAACATTTTATTATTTTCAGATACACCAGGTTAAAAAAAATAAAAAGTAAAAATAAAAATAAAAATAATAATAATAAAAAAGAAAAAAAAGGGGAACAAAAAAAAAAAGGTTATAGCAGGTTAATCCCATCTGGCGGCCACGGGAGTGTTGTGTGCACGATCGTTTCACAATTTCAAACCCGCATTCAAATGTCACCATACACACGCAGAACACCAGGTTATCAGGTTACACCCATCTGGCGGCCGTGGGAGTGTTATGTGCACACTTGTTTCCCAATTGAATGCTTTGATTGAATCTGAAATTCAATTCTGATTTATCTCCCTCCGGTTTTCTGCGGATTTGCCTCCTTCGAGTCTACTCTGCAATTGCATGCGTGTATGGGAACGTGTGAATTCTTTGTGATTGAAGTTCAATCAGGTACATAACAGGAGGCTGAAGACGCTACACGCAGCTTTCAGTTAATTTCTTGTGTTCGGGTGCTTACGAAAGCCGAAACCGGATAATGGCCCTTGGGAAGAGGTTGGAAGAAATGTATAATGGGACGTGGGACCCGGTTTCCAGCAGGTGCCGCTCCCCACCAATAGACCAGAGCATCTAGGGTTGGGCCCACTAGAAGGAGATGCTCATATCATTCCCCCTACCAAGGTCTGCTTAGATTTTCAAACATTGTCAGACCCAAAAAAAAGAGGTTAGCATGTTACACAGTAGAACACAATCTCTCACACCCACCATCATACAGCACATGCAGGTGAGGCAATCCGTTTTGTATCTTGTCTTCAATCAGATCCGGTGGATACAAATCCGATTGCCTTACCTGCATGCTTGTGTTCAATCAGATCCATCTACAAGCCATACAGACATATACTGTCACATCAAAGGCACATATCTTGAAGTTTATCCCTGGATGAAGTACTATGTTATGCACATAGTACTTCATACTACTGCAGAGTACCTCATAGTACATCATAGTACTGCATAATAGGAGTGCATAGTACATCATAGTACCGCATAATACTACATAGGAGTGCATGGTACCTCATAGTACTGCATAGTACTGCACAGTACTCCATACTACTTAATACTAGTACTCCATAGTACTTCATGGTACTTCATAGTACTTCATAGTACTGCATAAGTTCATACCCATCATTGTGCCTCACAGGTGTTTTGTTTTTGTGTTTTTTTTTGCCCATTGACAAGAAAGAAATGCCTTCAGAACTTTCGCACACAGGAGCGAAACGGAACACAAAACATCCTGACTGTAAATGCCCATTGAAGAGAGGTGCTGTTGCAGCTCGTGTATAGGCAATCGGGCATCCGTCCACACTGGTGAAGGGCGCGTCGGTACACCAAAGATAACATTTGGAGATGTTCTTTTGGGTTTCTAGTTCTCCACTGAATCTCCAGCTTCTTGGAAGAACCTATGATGGGTCAGAGGAGCAGGGCTCTGCAGTCACAGAGCGGCGTGTCAGCCTGGCCTGGCAGCCTCAGCCTCTCAGCCTCAGCCTGCAGCTTGTGTAAAAGCCATGGCCACTGCTCCTTCCATGTTTCCAGATAAAAACCAAACCAAACCAGACCAAACCAAACCAAACCAAACCAAAACCCAACCAAAACCAAAACCCAAACCCAAAAAAAAAAAAAAAAAAGTTGTGAGTTCTGTGACAGAAAGGGACAGAGACTATAAGGTAGTCAATACGGAGGTTAGCTCCCAGACGGTGTGGCAGTAGGCCGTTTCTTGGGGATGACGGTATGATGGTGGAGGCTACGTAGGATGGGACGTACATGATGTGAATTTTTCCATTTGACATCCTTTCAGGTTTTGCCGACTTTATCTCTGTGTGATCGCGATCATATGGCGTGCAAATGCATGCCGTGTGATCGCGACATCCTTTCGGGTTTTGCCCTTTGCCCTTTGTCACAAGAAGGGACAGGGACTATTAGGCTACTATTCGCCAAACCTGGCAACAGGCAAAAAATAATTTTGACCGCCTATATTGAAGTTTTGGTTTTTCTGCTTTCCTTTTTCTGAGTGTGGTTTGTTAGTCCAGATTCTACAACTTGTTCTGGAATAGCATGTGGAGATTTTAAAGCATGGGACACTAGACCCGTTTTCCAGTATGAGCCTAAGCTGGGTATGGGGCCCAGGTTTCTGGGTTGAGATGTGGAGGTATTCCTGGCCTCCTTTTGCTCATATAATGAAAACATCCCTTTCCCTAGGCTACCAGCCGGGGCGCCCGGGTCAGCCTATTTTCCCGGGCGGCCGGGCCGTGCAAGGACAAGGGAAGGTCC